GGGGGGACACGGTGGGCACCAAGGAAGGGGGGCTGGTGGGTACCCCCCAGACCCCCATACCTGGAACACCAGGTGTTCCCAGGTGTGCAATGACTCCTCCCGGCCCCCCCAGACCCCCGTACCTGGAACACCTGGCGTGCCCAGGTGCGGAACGACTCCTCCTGGGCACACAGCTCGTCGCCCTCGCCCAGGGGCAGCACCCGCTCCCCCCCCAGCTCCTCCAGCCGCGTGTCCACGGCCCGGGCGAAGGCGCAGAAGTGGGGGTACGCCCGGGACCCCAACCCGAACACCGCGAACCTGGGGGAGGGAGGGCGGGCAGGAGCCTCAGAGCCGGGGTTTGGGCACCCAGGGCTGACGGTGTGGGGTGCCCAGGGACATTGGGAGGACCCGGGGATGGTGAGGTGCCCAGGTAAGGAGACAGGGGACACCCGGGGATGGGGACAGGGGGCATCCAGGGATGTGAGGTGCCCAGCGATGGGGGGTACCTAGGAACGAGGGGTACTCAGGGATAGGGTGGATGCCCAAGGGTGGGGGGGGAGCAGGGAATGCTCAGCATGCAGGGATGGTGGGGGTGGGGGCACCCAAGGGGGGGGGGGGATACTCAGGGAATGCGGGAACACACAGGGGTGGGAGTGGGGTGCCCGTCCCCATCCCGGTGCCCGTCGCCATATCTGTGGCTATGCCCATCCCATGCCCATCCCAGGGCCCACCCCCATGGCTCAACTACAGCAGGGCTCCCAGCATGCCCATCCCGTGCCCATCCCGTGCCCATCCCATGCCCGTGGTACCGCAGGGCTCCCAGGGTCCCGGCACTGTCCGTGTTGCTCAGCTGCCGCCGCTTCTTCTTCCAGGAGGCCACGAGCTGGTCGGACTGGGAGACGCTGTTGAACCGCAGCTTGTAGCTCCTGGGGGAGTCAGGGGGGTGAGAGGGGGTCGGGGGGGTCCTGCCCCAGCCCCTGGTCCCAGCAGGGACCCCCGAGCCCCCCGGGTGCTCACATGGGCGGCTCCGCCTGGGAGGTGCCGGTGTACGGCGACGTCATCTCCATCAGTGCCTTGGAGAAGCTCTGGGGGGGATGGAATGTCAACCCCAAATCCAGACCCCTTCCCAATGCCTTCCCTATCCCAATCCCATCCCAACCTCGGCGCATTCCGGAGGGTCCCCGTTCCCGAACGTGCTGGTGACCACCAGGACCAGGGTCTCGTGCTCCAGGGCCACCACGTCATACTCGTCCATGCACAGCACCTTCGTGGAATTCCAGGATTGGGATCCCTCCACCATGGGATCCCCTCACTCGGTGTCTCCGCTCACCCTCGCCTTTGGCCAAGGGGAGGGGGTTTGGGTGAGGGGAGACGCCCCAATTCCCCGCCTTTCCCTTGCAAACCTTGGGATCAAACGCCCGTCGGAAGAGCTGGCACAGGTTCCAAGCGTAAGTCCGGGATTTGCCGGTCTCGGTGGCGTAGAGGATGGTGGCCTTCACCCTCCGTGCCATCACTTGTCCCATCAGCTTGGCCGAGATCTTGACGGCACTGTGGGATCCCCAGGATCACAGTGAGATCGCCGTGGGATCCCGGAATTCCCGTGGGAGCCCTGGGATCACGGGATTCACCTACTTGGCCACTTCCTTGAAGGTCTTCCTCCGCGTGACGGTGGTGCCTTTGGACACGTAAACCTTCCAGGCATCCGGCTGTGGGGCAGAGGGGCCATGGGGGGTTGGTTGGGGGGCAGAGGGGTCGGGGGGG